GCGACAGCGCGGCGGCAGCAGCGGCAGCAGTAGCGGCGGCCGCGGCGGGGCCGGAGCCGCCACGCGCATGTTGCGGTTTGGTTGCGGCTGCGGGGGCGGCGGGTGGCTGCATGAGGTGCTGCGCGGCGGTGAGGGCGCCGAACAGCAGATCGTCGACCCGCTCGCAGATGGCCGGAACAGAGTAGCGGAAGCCTGTGGGGGCGCGATGGGGGCATGTTTGAGTGAAAGTGTAGGTGTGCAAGTGCATGTGTGTGGTTGTGGGTGTGTTGCGTGTGGTTCATGTTTGTATTTCATGTGTTTGTGTGTGTTTGTGCACATGTGTGTGTGTGTGTGTATGTGTGAAGTGTGTGTGTGTGTGTGTGTGTGTGTGTGCGTGTGTGTGTAGAGATGCATGCCGGTGTAATCATGCACGATCACGTGGGCTCGCGAACGAGATGGGTGTGGGCCGACGGAGACGCTGGCCCTGCTACCCATATCGTCTTCCTGGGGACCACGAGCAAAAGGAACCCTCCTGCATCAGGCGGGCAGCGACGCGCAAGGCGGCGGCCGCACGACCAGTGGAGTGAACGCCCCGCGCCCGGTGCACGCATGTGGGGCCTCGACGCCCCCGGCCCGCACGCACCTCCCGCCTCAAGCGGCACCTCAGCAGGCAGCTGCCCCGACGCGCCGCCGCCCAGCGACCATGACCGAGCCGCCCCAAGCGCCCCCGCCCCGCCGCTGTCCGCCCGCGGCAGCTGCGCCCCCGCCCCCGCGCCCGGCCAGGCCGCCAGGCGCACGCGGCCGGCGGCGGCGGGCTCGGCCGCGGCGGCGGCGGCCATTGCTTCCTCCAGCGGCGCGGAGGCGCTGGCGCCGGCCTCATGTACCAGCGCCGCCAGCAGCTGCTTGCTCCGCTCCATGAAGGGCGCGTGGAGGAGGGCCTGGGGCCGAGCGGGGTGCCACGGTCGCGCGGCGGGCGCGTCGCGCGGTCGAGGGGAGCGGTGGGACCAGATTTTGCCGAGCTTGTGATGGTGGGCGGACAGAGCCAGGCACGTCCTCTGCCAAGCGCACGAGGCGGTCGGATGGGCCAGAAGTGCGGCGGTGCGACAGTGGCGCCCCGGACGGGCCGACGGCCGCATCGCAAGGCGCGCTGGGGGGCCGCATGACCGCAGACAGGGCCGCGCGCAGCTGCAGCAGACCCACCTGCCAGGTATCCAGGGGGCCGCCCATTACTGCGTTCGCGACCGCCGACCAAGCCGCCCCGCCCGCCGCCGCGCCCCCGCCCTCTGCCGCTGCTGCCGCCGCTCCCGCCCTCTGCTTGAGCTGCTGCTGCTGCCCCGCCGCCGCCTGCGCCGCCGCTGTCGCCACTGCATCGCCGTTTGTCGAGGGCGCCTCTGGCTGCCACGCATCAACGGCCGCGAGCACCTCCGCCTCCACCGATCTGAGCTCCTCGGCATCCTGGCAGCTGCCGAGCAGCTGCAGGCCCCCTGACAGGAAGCTGCCAGCGACCTCGTCCAGCCACCCGCGGCACGCCGCCACGACGTCGCCGGGCGGGGGCGGTGCGAGTGCCGCCAGCACGCGCGACAGCGCGGCTTCCCACTCGACGGCCTCTGGGCTGGCCGCGCCGTCCGCCAAGCCGAACGCGCCGCCGAAGTACAGTTCAGACGCGTCGCTGGCGGCCTCCTCCGCGGCCCGCTGCAGCAGCGTCCCCGCAGCGGCGGTGCTGCCGGGCGGGGGCGCTGCCGCGGCGGGGGCCGCGGGCTTGGGGGCCAGGAAGAGTTGCTCGACCTGCGCGATGG